TTCCCTATTATTCCTAGTTTTGCGTTGAAGTCTCTCATTAACACCGTATAGTGGTTTTTGGAGGAATGCATGGCTCTAGATATATCCTCCGCATCGGGTTGTGCCGAGGTTGGTGCGTAAACCTGTACGACTGTTTGGTGATTCTGAGTATAAGGTATGCAACCCTCGTCGACACACTCTCAATATTTACAACGTTGTTAACGAAAGACTTGTGGACGATAATACGACCGCTCAGACCCATCCAACTATAGGCCTATCGCGATCACCTCCTTGTTCTCCAAAATAATGGAATCCATTATTAACTGCCAGCTCATCCGGTACCTTGAGGATCACCAGCTGATTAGTGACCGCCAATACGGTTTTCGTCGAGGTCGATCAGCTGGTGATCTTCTGGTCTACCTCACCCATAGATGGGCGCAGGCAGTAGAGTCCAAGGGGGAGGCGTTGGCCGTTAGTCTGGACATTGCGAAGGCCTTCGATCGGGTTTGGCACAAAGCGCTTCTTTCGAAGCTCCCTTCCTATGGGCTTCCCGAGAAATTGTGCAATTGGATCACCAGCTTCCTTGCAGATCGGAGCATCAAGGTCGTTGTAGACGGTGCATGCTCTGACTACAAGCCTATTAACGCTGGTGTTCCACAAGGCTGTGTGCTATCACCAACATTGTTTCTTCTGCATATCAATGATATGTCGCTAACTGGTAACATTCATTGCTATGCGGATGACTGCACTGGTGATGCTCTATACACCGGCCGTGCCAATATTTCTCGGGAAAACGTCGCTGAGTACCGGAACAAACTTGTGTCTGCAGTCGAGTCTTTGATGAACAAAGTCTCGGATTGGGGGCGACTAAATCTAGTCCAATTTAATCCTCAGAAGACACAAGTTTGCGCGTTTACCGCTAAAAAGAACCCCTTTGTCGTATCTCCTCAGTTTCAAGGCACTCCCCTTCTTGCCTCAGCCAGTATCGGTATCCTCGGAGTCGACATATCGAGTGACGTGCAGTTTCGTGGTCACTTGGAAGGGAAGGCCAAATTGGCCTCTAAAAAGCTTGGCGTACTCAGCAGAGCGGGACAGTATTTCATGCCGGCACACCGCCTGCTACTTTACAAGGCGCAAGTTCGTCCTCACATGGAATACTGTTCCCATCTCTGGGCAGGGGCTCCCCAGTGCCAGCTCCTTCCACTTGACCGCATCCAACGCAGAGCGGCTCGAATTGTCGACGACCGAGCCCTTTCCGATCGGCTCGATTCATTGGCACTGCGAAGAGATGTTGCATCCCTTTGCATTTTCTTTCGCATCTACCATGGGGAGTGCTCTGAGGAATCCGCCAAATTTCACGAACGCACATCGCGGCTGAACTCCCGATACCATCCACACCATCTGGATGATTGGCGGTCCACCACTGTGCGATTTAGAAGATGTTTTCTTCCTCGCACGACCTCCTTGTGGAATCGATTACCATCAGCGATTTTTCCGGACCGATACGACTTAGGGACCTTCAAGAAAAGAGCGTACTCCTTTTTAAAAGGCCGGCAACGCATCTGCGATTCCCCTGGTGTTGCAGTTGTTCATGGGCGGCGGTAGTCACTTACCATCAGGTGAGCCGCATGCTCGTTTGCCCCCTCTCCTATAAAAAAAAATCCAACACCTCCTTGGGACAGATGATCGCCCTCCCGGTGATAGTACAATTTGCCAGAGGATTACCATGTCCTCTCCCTCTTTTCGGACCTCAGGTAATCCTATAATATTCCAGCGCAACTTGACTATCTCTTCTTCCAGTTCCAGGATCTTCTCGTCAGTCCTCAGGGTGCTGCGTTGTATTTTGCCAGGTCGGGTCGTCTTAGGTGGCAACCAAACCTCCACCGTTGATTCTTAGCACCCCCTGTCCCGCCGTTACCATGGTCGGCACCGTAGCCGGGAATGTCAGGACCGCCGGTGACTGGGGGCCGTCTCTTCGTAACTTTAATCATGAGGGGTATATTGCCATAGTTACCACGCTTGGCGAGTGGGTTGGCATCCGCAGATTTTTTATTGTTGTTTTGCTGTTATCAGAAAGATGCTGCTGCCCATCTTCTGCCTCAGTTTCTCTTTGTCACCTCTTACGTCACCCACGGGAAGAAATGGGGTAGTGGGTATTCTTTCCCACCACTACACGGGATACTTAACTTAAATTATGTATAAATATTATAGTTCAAGGTTTTATTTATTACATTTAGTTTTCTAAACTTTCCCCTTAAACTTAAATACCAGAAAACAAGAAACTACAACCAAAACTGGGAGCAATTCTTTAATAGTAATTATATTTGTGTATAATTACGAAATACGAAATTTTCTAGTTTTGAAATCCGCGACCAATAATGTACATATTACTTTTTAATTTACTTTTTAGCGGCGTTAAAATTTTGACAATGCAACGGAAGTTTAGTCTTCAAAAAGTATGTTTGTATATCCTTAAATGCGTGATTTAACTCAATTTTTAAGAAATGTAACGCAATATCCGAAAACGATGTACGTAATTTAATATTAGTAAATAATTTCAAAAGATAGATATAAAATATCCTTAAATTATTAAGATAAAAATTAGTTTATAAATTTGAAACCAATTTACTTGTTTTGTTAATAATATAACTGAAATTTCGGAGCTTCAGTATTTTAAAGAATTTTCTAAATATAAATAATATTGGATACGACGATTCTTAACTAAATAAATCTATTTCATATTCATAATTAGTTTAAGGTAACCGCCAACATGAATTAGGCCAGCGCGGTGGACACTTCCTTGCCCTAAAACCTTCTCAGAAGTGAAAAGGCCTGTGCCGAGCAGTGGGTTGTATATAGGCTGTATCTTTTCAATTTATAAACAATAAATAAAATAGCCATTTATTCCTCACTAACTACACTTAATAAATTAGAAACAAAATCAATTTAACAATTTTAATTTTAATTTTTATTATTATATTAGACGTAATTCAACTGGAAATTGCATTTAGCATTTCAATTGCTTATATTAGATAATAACATTTTATATAAAACAATTTTCATATTTTTATTTCTCAGATTTATATCATTAGTATTTTTTTAACAATTTCAAAAAAAATCTTATAAAAAAATGGTACCTTTACTATACTTTTATTGTTCTTATCACAATAGATATTAATGTAATTAGATATGTAAATAACACTGCTAATTTTAAATATAATAATAAAATTTTGAATTTTTTTTCTATTTTAAGTTTTAAATTCAAGATTAAATTATTAATTACAGTAGGTAGCCCTGCAGTTTGACGAAAGTAGTGTAAGATGCAACCGACTGTATTTTTGTGTAATAAACATTAAAAAAATATTCTTTTGTATAAGGACGACTTTTACGAATTATTTACGTTCCCATGAAACATTTTGAACACAAAATAATGATTTGCGATATTGCCAGCTTAGTGTAAGAGCAGGTGCGTTGTTATCTCTGAGACTTAAGATGAAAGCCTCATAACCCGAATTTATTTGTTCTGCCCCTTCCTCCGTACTACAGAAATAATGAGACATACAGAAAAGCAGGAATTCGATGGATGCAAGTGGCTTATTTACAGCATTTTTAAGGACTGTAATGATGATTGTGATAAAAGTACAATATAAGATTCCATAAAATTTGGCAGTTATATTTTTTGTAAAGTTTAAATGAAGACGAACTAACAGTTCATCTTATGGTAGATGGCTACTTAAGTTTAAGGACATCTGCAACCAACTATAAGCAAGGAGGCTACATATGCGTTGTCACATCTGAGGACTAAGATAGAATGTCAGCCTGCTATTATACTGGTTCTCTATACCCTTCACACTGAGACACAGTAGTACAAGTCGCGGCACGTAAGTCTAGCGCTGAACGAAACATGGAGGGGACGCGCAAGAATTGAATTGCACAAAAGCGACTTGAGAGCCAATCAGCGCGTGAGAACGACACGCAATCAGCCAATCAGCGCAACTTATGCGCAATAACGGTCACAGCTAAACTTTCATGCCGCTACTTATATACGCATTAATGATTGTATGTACGTAGATGGACTTCTAGGTAGAAAAGGAGGACACTTTGTGATTTAACCCTGGTAATACGTAAGAAGTATTCAAGCAAGCTCGTTGTTGTTTATCTTTTTATATTTAATTACCAGCTGTTCCCGGCGACTTCGTACGCATGAAATTTATTACGATTGGATTTCATGGGTTTTAATTTATTTGCGCGGGATCCTAATTATTTTTCTAAAATAATAGTAACCTAAGTTACTCCTTATCAAATCAGCTATCTGTTAGTGAAGGTCCCGTCAAAATCGGTCCAGTTGTTTCGGAGATTAGCCGGAACAAACAGATAGACAGACAAAAATTAAATTTTTTTTTTTTATAAATATCGTTTAAACTTTCAAATGCAGTTGTCAAAAAGCAGTTATTTTGGCATTTCAAATAGACACTTAAATTTTATTTATTGAAGTTATTCTTCTTTTGGGGCGTTTGGGAAAAATGATGGAAGTGAATTTAAACACATCAACACCTAAAAACGACACCATGAAGTTGTTACGATGCGCGCGCACACTGACACCTCAAAGCGACAACTTCAGTGGATAACTGTTTCTTAAGTTTTCGTGGGAACTGATTACTATATTTAAGGTAGTTATTTTTAGTTATTTTTGTTTTGTTTCGCTAAAGCAATATAACTTCCTACGTGCGTACATAAGTAGGTACACACACACGGCTTTTTAGTTTAGATTCGCCACGTGTGTTTGCCACTGAACTCCTAAACGTCTGGACCAATTTTATTGGAAAGTTTTGTGTGTTTCTGTGTAGGTTTATGGTTTAGATTCATAATTGAAATCGGTAGGTAGCGCTGTTGTCGAGATCCATAAATTACCCATACGAAGCCGGGGCAAATTGTAGTTTAAATGTAACACTAATTAATAATTAACTCATTAATTGTAAAATTATTTAAACTAACTGATTAATTGGGTTTAATTGTTTCAGACTCATTTGGATCGCGTAGCAGAGGCTACTAACGGTACACATCCAAAATTAATGGTAAGTCATGATCACGTACTATTGGGAAAGTAGTTTGATGTGGTAGCGAGAGTTTTAAACAAAAGAAACGATCCGTCGTCATCAAAAGAAAAAGAAAAACATATGTTATGTTACCACGCGCCTGCGTCGTTACCGGTGCTGACTTTCTATTTAAAAATAACGAATCAATAATTGATTCAAATTAATTTTACGCTGTTTTCCCTTGCCATTCTGAGTATATTCCATTGAACGGCCATTTTCTAAAGCCATCCAAACCGTGCTCTATATGCACGGGACACAAAAAGCGATAAGACTATGGGAACCCCTGCCACGCTATCCGTGGACCTCTGCAACATCAGGTGACTTCACTAAAAGCTTAACGCCGTCCACTACCATCTAGAGACGACAAAACCAGCCTTGCTCTTTTTGATCGAGACGCAGGTGTCCTCTCCGGCTGATATTTCGAACCCGGGGTATAAATTAGAACACTTATTTGTTCAACAAACTTTTTCTTTTGATTATCTACATAAGTCAGTGCACATGACTTCCATCAGCTACATCAACCCTCACAACCAGATTCTGATTCTTAATGATTTCTGATGCTAAATTTTACCACCGCACATCGCGACAAACCATCCATACCATCAGGATGATTGCTGATTTACCAGAAATTTTCTACCTCAAACAACTTTTTGGGGGGTCGATATGAAGTAGGAACCATCAAGAAAAGCTTGATCTTTTTTAGAAGGCCGGCAACGCACCTGCAATTCCCCTGCTGTTACAGTTGTTCATGGGCGGCGGTAATTATATACATGTTACAATTATACGCATGTTCGTTTGCCTCCTCTTATATAAAATTTAAAAAATATAGTTGAAGTTAATTAGTGGCTTCTTAAAGTTAAGAAAATATATCAACGTTTAGAATAAAACAGAAAGGGAAAGTATTTTTAAAATAAAAAATCAACTCAAACAAGAACTCAACTTCATTCTATCTTCACAGCTTACATCATCGGAGGCGTCGTGGGTAGCATCGCTTCTTTGCCTTGGTGCACTTTGGGGAGCTGTTCCGACTGGATTAATATCTGAGCACTTTGGCAGAAAGAAAACTCTATTGTACCTCGCACTACCACTAGTGGTCTCATGGATCCTAGTTTCATCCAGGTATTTATTAATTTTTTAAAGAAGGAGGTAAGTGAGTGAACAGTTCATCTGATAAGGAAAGTGAATGATGTAGCCCAAAAACTCAACCACTAGATAAAGGCTTTTTGCGTTGTGGGGAAAATAGCCTTAATCGCCACGCTTGGCAAGCTTATAAGTGATCGCAGTACGGTCTAAGATATTTTACCACGTTTTCAGGGTGCCGTACCTGAAGGGTAACGGGACCCTATTACTAAGCCTCCACTGTCCGTCAGTTCGTCCGTCCGTCTGTGTCAGCGGGCTATATCTCATGATCCGTAATAGGTAGACAGTTGAAATTTTTATAAAATTTTTATTTTTTATTTTCTGTTCCCGCATAACAAAAAATAATGAAAGTTAAAATAAATTAAAAATTGAAAGGGGCTCCTACTAGAAACGTGTATTACGATGGTACGGAACTCTTCATGCGCGAGTCCGACTCGCACTTGACCGGTTTTTATTATTTACTCGCTTTTTGTATTTTGCGGGTCGAACTCAGAAATCGATTATAAGCGAACGTTCTGTGAGCTAGAGACTCGAAATTTTGAACATAACTCAGAATCGGATGACAATGCAAGGATATGAAAAATAAACTTGGTCATTGAGTTATATGTACTACGTACTAGATAAGCCATTCCAAACAAAAATTGTGTCCTACTCTATGTATTCGCGCGTGCGCGGGAGTAGTAGTCGCGCATGCGCGAAGACTTTAATTTGATATATAATTAATATAAGAATTTAATATAAAATATCTTAATTTAATCTAAACAAACATATTTCTAAATAAAATGTAATAATAATTATTTTATGGAATTCACAAATCTTCAATTTACGCAAAATTTAATTTGTATGGATTGCACTACAGTTCAGTTGAACATAGTTAATGTTCGGAATGGCTTCTCTAGTACGTAGTACATATAACTCAATGAACGTGGTATTTAATTTTCTTAACGCATATTTATTTTTTTTAATTTAGTTAGTTAATATGTTTAATGTAAACAAGTGCTTACAGTGCCATTTATCGAAAGCTATAAAAGCATTTTCCTAAGTCCCACTGAACGAAGTTGTATGTTCTCCTACACAGTAACTACATAGCAAGTCCAAAGTTCCACTGGACGAAGTTGTATGTTCTCCTAAATAGTAACTACATAGCAAGTCCAAAGTCCAACTGGACGTAGTTCTATGTTCTCCTACACCGTAGCTACATAGCAAATCTAAAGTCCTACTAGAAAAAGTTTTATGTTCTCCTACACGGTAACTACATAGCAAATCCAAAGTCTCACTGGACGAAGTTCTATGTTCTCCCACACCGTAACTAGATAGCAAATCCAAAGTCCCACTGGACGAAGTTGTATGTTCTCCTACACCGTATTTACATAGCAAATGTCGTTAAGTTATCCTTAAACTACTATAGGTTTTTACGACCACTAGTGCTACGACTGTCTCGTTGGTCAAATGGTCGTAAACGCGACTGATGATCATGAGATCCCGAGAACAAATCGCGGGTAGGACTAAAAAAAATTAGTTATTGCGTTTTTCAGTCTCGTTATCAGAAATTCTCATTAGCAGCCCGGAGTCAGAAAGTTGGCGGTGTTTCACCCCCGTACCTCGGAAATTAGGTAAAGCCCTTGGTTCCAGCGGACTATGAGAGTGAGGGAATAGAGAGTTCACCTGTGCTTGCGCATACACTTGGGCACTTATGATCCTGTCCTGCACCGATGGCTAGTCTTCGTGACCGAAATTCGGTCTAGATGACATTACAAGTACATTACACACAATAACTTTTAAATATATGTAATAATACTTACTATTTTTTCTTCCCAGTCCAAACGTCTATGGTCTTTACGTGGGACGGTTTGTGGGTGGTGTCGCGGTGGGTGCGTTTAGTGTTGGCATACCGCCATACATAGAAGACATCGCCGAAAAGCACCTGCTTCCAACATTGGCTAATTTTTACCACGTTCATTTCGCCTGCGGTGTACTCTTTGGATACATAATAGGTAACCTTTTTTGTAATGTTTGGTAATAAATAAGCTAGTAGTTCTATTAACCACATGTCGATGCAAACAAAATCCAAAAAATACAATAAAGATTAAATAACTTTCGCATTCGTATGGTGGGTGTAGAGAACCGGCGACCTTTTTTACTTGAAAAGAGGCATTCCATCTTAGTCCTCACTGGGGACGACGCACCTGCATTTTCATTTTTATTGAGGATAAATGTAGATGTCTATGGGTCACAACAGTCACTTACCCCATCAGGTGGACTGTGTGTCACCATATCCTATAAAAAAATCATGTACGTATATTTGAGTAGAAAAAATGGTGGTCGCAGGCAAAGCTAGTTCTAAATATATACATGAAATAAATATAAGCAAATGCACACCTTTATTCATGAGAGTCGTGGTAGTTCAGGTGCCTTAAGTGCTCGCTGTAAAGTTCACAGTACGCGAGTAACCCGGGTTCCATCCTCACCTGCGCAGAAAAGCAGTATTAAGCTGCTATTTTACCCGGGTGTTCTGTGAGAGCGTGGTCTTTCCCTAGTTGAGCCAACCAATTCGTGCTACAACCATAATGTAGTGGTGAACACAGTGAGTTAGGTGCTAGTTGAATTGATGGTGGGTATCGTCTATTCTACCACAGTGTGGTGTACAAATATATTAGTATAATAGACAAGTATAATAAACAAAAATACTAATCCTCAGTGTAGGTAACAAAAAATATTTACAAAATGCTAGGTATATTATAAGTGAAAAGATCGTGCAATGACACCCATGACACAACACATTTTGTAAAGGCGCTTTTACATCTACATATGTAGCTATGTCTACACCAGTGCATTTTAAATTTCGCTTTCATGTTAACTTTGCGTTTCAACTTTCATGTCTGTACCACACGCGCCTCGGTTAGGCAAACCACGAAGATTCGTAATTATCAGTCCTTTTCATCGTAACTTTTTGATGTTCTTTTGAGAAGTATGACCTCAAGCTCTTTATCTTGTTTTTAACTGTTTTTACATCATAATTATATTTTTGGCTCAGAGAAATAAACGCGTTGTTTCTTTTTATTTTATTTGCGTAATATTTGTGCTTGTGGTGCCACAATACTTGATTTGTTCGATACTCATCGATAAATTCTAATGTTTTAACTTTATCTTCCGCCATTTTTTTTTCGCAAGATAAACAGGAAAGCACACTGGTGTGTTATGTCTATCTTATGAATCAATCAATCATCAAAATCTGACGTAATTGAGATGGATATATTGCCACCTGTCGGAAGTAATATGATTTTTCTAAACATTTCCATAGCATATCGTTAATAACGTAATTTGATTTTTTTTCAGGTATGGTCCAGAGTACGTCATGGCTGTGCGTCTTATGCGTCAGTATACCTGTGGCGTTCTTCATCGCGTTTATTTTTCTGCCTGAATCACCCACTTACCTGGTATCCCAAGGCAAATATAGCGAGGCCAAGGCTGCATTACGATACTTTAGAGGGATCGACAATGATATTAAGTCTGAAATGAAATCATTAAAAGAATACGTTCTGAACTATCGTAAAACTCGAGTCACTTTCAAGGAACTGTTTACCACTAGGACTTCTGTGAAAGCACTAATTGTGTCATTTGGACTCATGGTCTTCCAACAGATGAGCGGAATATACCCGGTGCTGTTTTACGCTGAAAATATTTTTAAAACGTTTTCAATATCATTGAATCCACCTGGAGCTGCAATCATCCTGGGCTTCTGTCTCGTATCCTCGACATATTTCTCAACCATGCTACTCAAGACGGTCCGTAGACGAGTACTGCTTATACTGTCTTTCCTGTTCATGGCTGTGAGTTTGGGCATTTTAGGTATTTACTATCATTTAAAAGCATCTCGCTTATCTTCTGATAATACATGGGTACCTTTATTTACTCTGTGCACATTTGTAAGTGTATACGCAGCTGGTGTCGGGCCAATCCCATGGCTGATGTTGCGGGAAATATTCCCGTCAAATGTTACAAGACGTGCCACAGCTATAACTGCAGGATTTCACTGGTTTCTTGCTTTCGGTGTAACAAAACTGTACCAGAATTTGATAGACATGGTTCGACCGGGATGGACCTTCTGGAACTTTGCTGTGACTTGCATAATAGGAGCCATCTTCGTCTATTTCTTCGTGCCGGAAACGAAAGACAAAACATTGCAAGACATACAAAATGAATTCAATGGGATTCATAAAGGTAAAAAACATCGACACGTTATAGAGCTAGAGAGTATCTCAGAAGCTTAAGATAAGAGAAGAAGAAGAAGAAGAAGATGTGATGGGATTTATAATGAAGAGTGGTTATTTAATATGTAACTTATAGAATCAGTATTTTTATTCTGTCAAATATGAAAAATATGGCGTCCAGCCGGTTAAACCAAGATGACTATCTACAATCGTACACGTTAATAGATTCTTTTTAACGTGGTAAAGTTATACGGAAGCTATAGTTCTGCTTGACCGGAGTAGGACTAATCTATCACAGAAAAATTTAAATAGGAACTTAATGCTGTTGTGTTTCGTATGGTTAGTGAACCAGACACCCTTTTTACTGGTAACGATGCATTTCATCTTAGTACTTAGGAGTTACAACGCATTTTGATTTTTAATCGAGAAAAGTTGTAGCTATTTATAGGTGGACTGTGTGCTCGTTTTTCATCTTTTTGCGAAAAAAGTTATAATTTTCTCAGGGATGAATCCTATCTAGATAAACTGAAAAAATAAAACATTATTTAAATACTTGCAAAATTTTAGCAAGTTAGATAAATATGAGTAAATGAAACGTTGAGATAAAAGCCGTGCTAGCTGAGGGATTAAGTGCTCGCCGCAAATTTCGCAGAACACGAGCAGCCTGGGTTCAATCCCGCCGGAACCAATGAAAATTGTTAGTTGCAATTTTAAATGCTTATTTACCGCGTGCTCGATGGTTAAGGAAAATGTCGTGACGAAGTGAGTAGGTATGTCTAAGAAAAAAAAAAAATAGAAGATATGTGAAGTCCGCCAATACGCATTGGGGCAGCGCGGTAGACACTTCCTTGCCCTAAATACATTCAGAAATGACAAGAGGCATATGCCTAGCATTGGGAAGTATAATAGCTGTTCCTGAATTTCTATTAATAGTTATTAATAAATATTCATCATTTATAGTAATAATAATTCTTTATTGTTTATTGAACACAGAATTAATATCTATTATTCTATAACTGAATAAATCTATATTATTATATAATTAGGTGACAATGTCTATTAATTTTTTTTATTGATTATACATCATTAAATCACTGATAGCAAACTTTAACGAAGTAATGTTGAGATATGTCAGTTCCATTTATTTTTATAGTTCTCTATTAGCGTAAAAGATTGTAGAAAGTACTTGGTTAACCCTGCAGCTGTTTCACGCATACAATTTTGAACATTTACAAATATGTGTTTAATAATAGACTGTTGTTATTAGTTTATTTGTTGTATATTAATTAATTATATTATTTAGTTATTTATTGTAAAATTAAAGTATAGCTAATATATTATAACATGGATATTTTTGAGAATAAAACATTGCGAGTTTTATGTCTTATAGCGTATGACTTATTTTTTTACTTTACCCACTTTAAAAAAGCTAGCATAATGTGATGTTCTTCTCCATTTTTTTTAAAAGAAATTAACATACATAGGAATTAGGAAATCTGCAGTAAAGCCAGAATAACTGACACAAATCAGTGTAACATTATGCTGAAGTAGCAATAGCTCGAAGAACGTGGTAGAGCCGTGCTGCAGCTATATTAATAGTATAGTTGTAGCACGAATGGGTCGGCTCGACCGGGGAAGGACCACGCTCTCACAGAATACCAGCGTAAAATAGCAGTTTAATATTGCTGTGTTTCGTAAGGTTAAGGTTAAGTGTAGATAACCGGAGACCCATTTTACTGGAAAAAGAGGCATTCTATCTTAGTCCTTACGGCTGACAACGCATCTGCATTTTAATTCGCTAAAGAAGATAGATTCAGATGTCTATGGGCCACAGCATCCACTTACCATCAGGTGGACTGTGTGCTCGTTTGTCACCCTTTCCTATAAAAAAAACTTTAAGAAGGTTCTCACGTGGCAGCCTCGTACCGGTAAGTACTATGTAAGGTGGCCCCTCACTAAGTGTCGTCACTTCCTGGTAAGATACGAAGCAAGTCGATGGTTACAAGTGGCCCAGGACCGAGTTAAGAAGCATTCCTTGAGGGAGGTCTATGTTTACTTGTGGTTTTGTGAAGGTCTGTAATCATGATGATGATAAACAGATATGGATATTTTAAACAATATTTTTTTACAAAATTAAAGTGCCAAACGAACTTATGCCTGCAGCCGACTTCAAACAAAGAAGACTACATTTGCATGGTCACTTCTAAGAACTAAGATGAAATACCTCACAGCCTGTTACTATGATGGCTTCTTCAGACTTCAAGTACGAACACGGCAGTACACACGCTGCTGTTTTCCGGCTGAAATAAGTAACAGTTACCTATTGACATCTCATAATCTACGGCTATCTTCTTTCACCTTACTTTAAAAAAAAACACGGTGCAATAATTATCTGCAGCTTTTTTGTCACCTACAGACAATCAACTGCTGAAATTGGGATTTTCTAATGCTATAGAGGAATTACAGTGATAACAAATTTGTCACCTCTGATGCTGGGTCTCCTCGCCAATCTAGGATTCTTATATCAGGTTGGTAGTCAGTAAATATAGTCTTTATACGTCCTACTGCTGGAAATAGGCTTCCTCTCATGCTTGAGAGCGTTTTAGAACCAGGGATTGTCCGCCGCACAGCCCCAATGCGTGTTTGGCGAACTTCAAATGTCTTCCGGTTTTTTTCTGATTTCTCAGAATGCAGGTTTCCCCACGATGTTTTTCTTTACCGCCAAGCACGTGGTAAATCAGCATTCAAAATTGAAATTAACACAACAATTTCTCTGTGCCGGTGGATACCGAACACGGATTGCTCGCGTACTGTGAAATTTACAGCGGGCTCGTAGTCCATGAGCTACGACGGTTCCCTGATTTGAAATGACTTTAAAGGCATCAATCAGAAACCTAGAGTGGCCTGAGACGCCGGTGTAACCGTTACTATGTTCCGCAACTTTCCCTAAGTTTCTTATAGCACGTACTGGTAGCTTCTCTTATCTCATATAATATATATATATATATATATATATATATATATATATATATTTATATATATATGCTTATACATTATACCTAAAGCCAAGTTTTTTCTTTACTGCCTCGTTGGTCTAGTCGTGGTAAGCGCGTCTACTGAAATCGGGTTTAAATCACTTATTGGGCTGCTATTTTATCTGTCAAAAATTCTCAGTAGCAGCCCGGAGTCAGGAAATTGGTGGTGTTCCATACCCGTGCCTCCGAGAGCACATAAAGCCCTTAATCCTGCACCCTATTGGACTTTGAAATGAGGGAAATGAAAACGTTAAATACAACCAAGGTTATGGGGCCCGATAATTTATCACGAGAATTTCTGAAAAATTATGAAAAATACAGCAGTTAATATTGTAAACCACTGTTTCCTTTTTAATGAGTGTTTAAGTGAAGAAGTATGTTCGTATTTTGTTAGCTATGTGGAAGCTCTTCGAACGATTAATTTTCAACTGTATATATCCATTACTGCACAACTTAATTATACCCGAACAACATGGTTTTGCAAGTCGACGTTCAAGTACTACCAATTTATTAATATATCTAAAGGACTTATTCGAAAATTTAGATTTAAATTATCAAACTGACTGTATTTATAGAGACTTTCGTAAGGCCTTCGACAGAGTTGATCACAAAATTCTACTTGATAAAATTGCTTTTAATGGTATATGTGGCAATCTTTGGTAATGGTTTATTTCATACGTAACTAACCATACGCAAAGGGTTGTAATTAATGGTTACGAATCAGTGTATGTACATGTCACCTCTGGGGTACCACAAGGTTCCATATTGGGACCACTATTATTTACACTTTTTTATTAATGATATTAACTCCTCTTTTTAGCACAGTAATTTTTTACTATACGCTGACGACCTTAAAATTTATCGTACTATTTGTGACAATGAGGATCAGCTCAGACTTCAGAATGACTTGAACCGCTTTTCTGCTTATTGTTTAAAAACTAAATTAAGTCTTAGTATTAGTAAGTGCAAAGTGTTATCTGTCACTAACAAAATTAAGTTTAATCGACAATAATATTCTTTGTGTAACTCTATTCTTGAAAAAGTACATTCTATTTGTGACCTCGGCGTTACCATTGATAGTAAATTAACACTCGATAAACATGTTGAACAAATATGTAATAAAGCTTTTAAAATGTTTGGGTTTGTAATGGGAACCTGTAAGGATTTCGTCAACCCAGCAACATAAATTTTTTTGTATTAGGCACTAATACGCTCTCAGTTGTACGCAGTCAGGTATACGCTGTTGCTTTGTAGAATCCCTTCTATAATGTCTATACCAACCATATTGAGAGGGTACAAAAAAGTTTTATACTATAATATAATTAAAAGGGTAATATACTATAGATGTAATCATAAATATTGTTATAATTTTATATAAATACAAAATGTAACTTTAAAGCACAGACGACAACAATTAGCAGTAATGTTATTATTTGACCTTTGTCATGATAGATATGATTGCATTCCTGTAACAAAAAAATTACGATATTGTGTACCTACTGGGTCACATATACGATCAACATGCTCACGTCAAACATTTGCCCTTCCCTTGTGTTGAACCAATGCTGGCAAAAGAGATCCATTGCATCGTTTAATGCAAAATTAAAATGATCACTTTTGGGATAATCGTGCAAACTCTTTAGAAACAAAGTGATTAATAAGCTTATGGCTCTTACGAACTAAACAAAATAAATAAATAAAATAAATCAAAACTTAATAAAAAAAATGGTAAATCCAAAGGGGCATGCCCTAAGCGCATTAAAAAAATTACGTATAACATGATTACACGGAATTTATTAGAGTAGTTTAAATACACACTTGTTTTCACTAATAACCTTAATATACTTGTGGCCGATGGAAGGAAAAGGGGAGATCTCCCGCCAGGCAAGGTGTTCTGCCCGGGGAGCGGCCAACGCTCCGATTGGTAGTTCGGAGGTATTCTATATATGCTGCTTTAATTTCGGAACTTTGATAGCGCGATTTAGGCTTCGATGTGTTTCGCTTGTGGCGCGACGACAGCGCCGCCACATCACCCTCCTGCTCAGACCGGAGGTAGATAGTGCAGTCCGATTGCCGGTGCGTCCTTAATGCCGGTGGGGAATGCATGCTGTGTGCGTAAGGGCAAGTGGCGCCGGTGCGAATGATATGCCGGTGTGTAATGCATGCCGTACTACGCACTTGCAAGTGATGCCGGTGAGAACGAGGAGCCGGAGCAAGTGCCAGGGATTGCCTTGTAGTCTGCGGTGAGTCGAGAAGAAGGCAAGTAATCTGCGAGAGTGCTGTGAAGCAGAGGCGAGCAGTAAGGCTCAGAGCCGTGCCGAACACTGTAGCGCAGAGAGTATCTTGAAGGAACAAGAAGCATTATTATTCCAGTGCTGCGATGAACCTTTTGTAAAGCTAGATGGCTTGCAGAATGTGAAGACTGTAGACAATGTCTGCTCGGGAGCGAATGAATGGGGTACTTGAGTAAGATGACGAAGTTTTTGAAATTGTCCAAAAGAGACAACATTTCAACATGACACATAATGATGAGCATTATGTGTCATGCTCTTTTGGAATTTCCATGAGAGTGAAAAATTTTAAAAAAATTGTAATTTGTAGTTTTATTCCAGTAGCAGTGACCAAGGATACTTTCAAGTCACTATCTAGTCCGGAGTTAAAGTCTCATCATAACTAACAAAACAAGCCCAAACTCGGCATATCTAGTTCTCTTCGTTGAGGAGTTCCAGTAGCAGTCATCAAAGTACACTTTTAAGTCCATCTATCAAGTCCGAAGGTAAAGTCTCATCATAACTAACAAAACGAGCCCAAACTCGGCACATCTAATTCTCCTCGTCGAGGAGTTCCACTAATGAAAGTGTACAGTCTGCTAACAGATACCGAAGTACACTTTCAGGTGTATAAAGGGCAAGACGTATAAGTACATATATTTATATATAAATCCTGCGTGCTTTTAGCGAAACAAAATATTGTAATAAAATTTGTGATTATAAAAATAATAATAATATCTTACCTTGGTCAAGTATGTATCAAATTTGGTTTTTGGAATATTTTTTATTTCTACGGCGATCGATATTTTTCTGCACGAGCCACTGTAACAAGCGACCACTCGCGAAGGCATTTGAGGCTGGAGTAAATAAAGTACTTTGTGGCTGTTGTTCGGAGTGCGACTTCGGCCTATTTATTAAAATAAATTTATGCAAGGCTGCTGAAGCCATTTTAGAGCCGAAAAAAATTTATTATAACTAAACAAAACAAAGCTAAACTGTCATATACACTCCATGACTTCCCATATGATAGATAAAAAGATTAATGAATAGATTGGGTTAAACAATTGATATTTCCAAAT